GGCGATCGATATGTTCCGAATTTGAATTCGGCACCTTTTCTCTTTTTAAGGTTAACAGGAAGCGCATATTGATCTGGACTCGCCTCAGCGATACCTCCCCAATATGTTAATTCCTTAACCTTAAAAAAGAGAAAAGGTGCCGAATTCAAATTCGGAACATATCGATCGCCTCCACACGGATCTTAACAGGACGCGGGCTGAGCCGGTGGCTCGCACCCAACGGTGCTAACAGATAACAGCGGGAGTGCTGACAGAAATACCAGTGTTAACCTGGGGAGGAGGGGAGTTACCACTGTCATTTACATTTCAAAACTGTTCTTCAAACAGAGATGCTACATGGTACCATGATGGATACTTTTTGGGAATGTACCACACTAAAAACATATTTTCAAATTTAAATAATTCAATAATTGATTTAGTATGTAATAACAATAACCTATGTCACCAGTCAATTAGGACCAGACCGCTGGACAACAAGGAGACGATCGACTTCACGAGACGGCAGGAGGATGCTTTACAACAGGTAGAGTTACTCAGGTACACAGAACTAGAGGGGGAGGCTAAATGGTGCAACACCAGAGACTTCAGGCTTTCTGTTTCCTCGTCATCTCAGACTCCAGCAGGCCGGCTCCTGGTAAAGACGTCGCACAGTCTTTCTAGTGTTTTTTTCCTCCTTCGAACAACAACGAGAAAGCGGGGGTGAAGATATATATACGGGGAGAACTGCCGATTTGAAGGTCAAAATGAAAAGCTTATTTCGATCTATTTCTGGAATAGAACCAAAAATCGTGACACATTTTACCGTCACTTCGATGATTCAAGTCGAATCGGACTATTCTATCAAATAGATGATTATTCTGAGTCATATTCGTGCTTTGCATTCTTAATAAATGAATCGGTCATCATGTCAAGGGAAGGAGAAAAAAAGGACCCAGACAGAAAACAATTCTTGAACAGGACTAGGCTTGGTTCTTGAGGAGTTGTAGCATTTATTCACCATCAAAAAACCCCACCGCACTGCTACGCTCACAGCTATGCGGTTACTGCTGCCAGCAAATATCTATACATTACCCTGAATACCTCCTCTAACTGCCTCACTACAAATACTCGTGCTTTGCATTGTTTTCACACAGCTAGACTGGGACTCTTCTGTGTGGAATCTGCATGTTCTCTCCCCGTGACTGCTGGGGTCTCCTTCGGGTGTGCTGCAGTTCAAAGACATGCAGGTCAGGTGAACCGGAAACGCGTACTTCCCCGCAGCACCGACGCGTTCGTCTGTAAGGACGTGTGCCAGCCGTGTGAGAGAGCGGTGACGTGTCCGCGGTGAACACGCCGCTTCTCTCTGAATGCATGCTTGGATAGGCTGTCAGCCCCCGAGTGGGATATAGGCTACGGCTGGATGGACACCGTTACATGTAATACAAAATAACAATATGAAATAAGTGTTATTTGTTTAAGGATTGAATTAAGTAAAGCAATCACCATTATCCTTTGTCGATTAATTCAATATAATTCATCTTCCTGCTGCTAAGGTCAGAACTATGTCTGATGAGAATAAAAGCTACAGCTGAGCATTGACTGAGTGTTGAAACATGCAGAGATGTGGTTCAGAGAAGCCCATCACAGCTCAGCTACTATTCAGCATTAAAATGCTGCTGTGGATTCTATTTGGGCATGTGATAATTAACTAAATGCATTACAGTGCTCTTAAGAAGGCGGACCAAAAGCGCACCCAATATCTCTCACTTTGTTTAAAGACTATATTATATTCTTATGAACATTAAATTACACTGCTACTTTGTTTTGGTTTTCCAGCTGACTGTTCAGGGTTTACTCTCTCCACTCATCAGCAGACTAATAGCTCTGAACAACACAGTGTGCGCTGTGTGTAAATAGACGACTGCTAAGAAGTCCAACGCTGATTAAAAAAAAAAAAAAAAAGAGGCAGTTTTGTGTTTAAAACTCATTTCAGCTGGAAATCTAGCAAGATGGCCGACGCAACTATGTAACAGTGACACAGGGGGCTTATTGGAGCATATGGCCAAAAAATGATGTTATAATTTATGTCTAATATAGCTGTAAGATTATAAAAAAAAAAAAAAAAAAAAAAAAAAAAAAAAAAAAAAAAAAAAAAATGTAAACCACGTAAGACTCCACTGTACTGCTACAGAAATGCTAAAAAGTCTGCATTTTCATGCTAAAATGCAATTAAATGTGAATGATTGTGTGTAATGTGTTTCATACCCGGTGTCAGCGGAGTTTATCGTGTCATTGACGAGTTTAGTCAGAATACATTCTGTAGATCTCAGACTCACCCGTGTAGCTCGAGGTTTTGAACAGTTGCAATTGAGATTATAATTATTATATATTTGAACCAGCAGATGTGGAATAGATTGAAATATGAGGATCACACAAACGGAGATGTTACGGGGTTTGAGGTTTTCAAAGAAACATTTTGCTGTGTTGATTTTCTAAATTGCTTGTTATGT